GTTAGATTGCCAATGCATGCAGCACACTGACAAAATAAGATCTACTGCTACCCTGTTGTATCACTAATTTCAGATAAGTATCTCTAAAGCGCCTTTGAAGCATACACCTTATTCATTAAAAAAGTAAAAATATACACTTGCGAGAAGGTGCATAAACCTTTCCGTATGCACTGATACAATCTATCAAATATTGTAGGAAACCAACTGGGGGCGGTTCCCTGTGGGCTTCATAGAAGGCGCAAGTCAGAGACCCTTCGTGCTCAGTATATTGATGTCAGGGAACTCAGGTGTGTATTGCTCCCCTTAAACAAATTTTGGATCTATCAGACTGTTTCTCAGCAGTTTTTTCGGTTACTTGAATGACTACTAGTTTGTTCATAGATCTTGCCTACCACAAACATAAACCTGGATCGCTACTGCATCTGGGACCAAATAAATGACTATAGGTTCATTCTGTTCCTTAAGATTGATGTTGGCTTGATGCAGGATTTGTGCTGGAACATGGAATGTTGCAGGCAGACTTCCACCTAATGACTTGGATATTCAAGAATGGTTGGATATGGAGGAGCCAGCTGATATATATGTTCTTGGGTAATTACAGAATCCCTCAACAAGTCATATTAAATACAATGGAAATCAAATCCTGTTAGTCTCTAATCAAATCCTTCACTCATCTCCAAAAAAATGTTTCGTCCCATATGATACAAGATGCTATTATTTTTATATGTTAGTCTCTAATAATATAACTGTTGTTTCTTTTGTTTTATTTAATAAGTGGATTTGATTGTCTTTCAGATTTCAAGAAATTGTTCCACTAAATGCTGGGAATATATTTGGTGCTGAAGACAACCGCCCTGTTGCAATGTGGGAGCATATTATTCGTGAAACATTGAATAAGATCAGCCCAGATAAACCCAAATATAAATGTCACAGCGATACTCCTTCTCCATCAAGGTTCAAGCCATCTGATGATGCTTTTGTGATGGAAGATGAACTTATTAGTGAGTCTGACAGTGAAAGTGATGGGGAGGTGCACCCATTGAACGAACAAGATTTTGTCGATTCTGTTGATGGAATTCATGGTAACAAATGTGAACATCCCACTGATGCACCTGAAACAATTTTACAAGATGACGAGTTCAGCAGGTTGCCTTCAATGAAGACTTTTGACAGATCCAATAACCTAAGTTTTAAAGAATCTAATTTGGAAGAGAAGATCTGCCAGAAGCTATTAACTAAAACATTCAGTAACTCAGAGAGGCTTGGAATGATTTGGCCTGAACCACCATTGGATATGTTGGCCCAGTGTCTTCCAGACAGCACAAAGTCATTTGCTTCAGGAAAGGCATTAAGATCGTATTTGTCTTTCAAGTCAGTAAATGGAGATTCTGGTCCATTTGCAGAGGATAATTCAGTTCCTGATTTTAGCATTAACTGTGCAGCAGTTAAAGGGAAAAGACCATACTTTGTAAGGATAATAAGCAAGCAGATGGTTGGAGTGTACCTATCAATATGGGTACGAAGAAGCCTCCGAAAGCACATTCAGAGTCTGAAAGTATCAACTGTAGGGGTCGGTGCTATGGGCTACATTGGTAATAAGGCAAGTTTCTATAAGCCACAATACTCTCAGAACCCTTTTTGTTCAATTAAAGAAACTCTGCTGTTTGAAAACTGAGTTTCAAATGCATGCACTTTATAAGTATTTGTCAGCTGGCTTGCAGTCACTTATCTAAACTACAGTAAACAACAACTGGCGTTTTGTACAATACTTATGTTTTAGCACCTATTATCTTCCAGTCTTTCCTGTCTCATATCACTTGCATTTACTTTCCATCAATACACCAACACTACATTTGGAAAAGGGTATGCTAACCTCTTCTTACTTTGGCATGCTTCAGGGATCAATATCAGTAAGCATGTCCATATACCAAACACACTTTTGCTTGATATGTTGTCACCTGACCTCTGGAGAAAAGGAAGGAGATGAACTAAAAAGGAATGCTGATGTTCAAGAAATCCACCGAAGGACAATATTTAATCCAGTTTCCAGAGTCAACATGCCTAAGACAATATATGACCATGAGTAAGTAACAGATTCTGCATCGTTTCTGGTTACCTCTACTTTTTGGCGGTTCATCTGCTACTTATTTTAATAGTTGACAGGAACAAAGCACTATCTTCAGCCATTCTTGAATATTGCAATGCTATTAGAACTTTTGCTTTCATTGAGGGGGCAAAGCAAGAACATGTGGTCGAGGGTTGTAGACAATTAGAAATTATGTTTTAGTCTACCAGTTTAGTTCATGCTAGCTAGATTTGGTGACGTGTTGCAGTTCTAGCTTGTTTCATCTAAGATTTGATATTTCTTGAATGCTTCAGAAGGATCGTATGGCTAGGTGATCTGAACTACAGGATCAATTTACCATATGAGAAGACACATGAACTCATCTCCAAGCAGGACTGGAATGAATTGTTTGGGAAAGATCAGGTATGCTTTTATGTTTTATCATCATATTGCAAAATGCACATTAGTCATAAGTTCTAACTCACCTTTCCATCCTCTTTCATGATAGCTGAAAGTAGAGCTGAAGAAGGGGCATCTATTTGAAGGATGGACCGAAGGGGTCATCAACTTTCCTCCAACGTATAAGTACAAGGTTAACTCAGAAAAGTACATAAGTGATGATCACAAATCTGGAAGGAGAACACCTGCATGGTATATTTTGTTCAATATATTTTGCACCCTGCTAGTTTTTTTATTAATGAAATTATCATTATTGAAGTTATGTTTGTATATCTAAAGTTACTAGTGGCATGTACTAACAGCAAACTCTCTCTTCTAACTATGTATAGGTGTGACCGAATTCTTTCCCATGGCAAGGGTATGAGGTTACTGTCATATAAGACAGTTGATCTCAGGCTATCAGATCACCGCCCTGTGATTGCTGTGTACATGGCTGATGTTGAGGTTTTCTCTTCAAAAAAGCTGCAGAGAGCCCTTACCTTCACCGATGCAGAGGTCGAGGAACAGCTCTCCTTCGAGGAAGATAGTACTTCTGGAATATACAACCTTGGACTAAATTAAAGTTCAAGGTAATCTCGGACACATAACGAAACAGACTTTATGCTTTTCTCAAGTATCCAATGAAGAATTGACAAGTTACGACTTAGTCCTGCCCAGCCTGTGCCTCTATTTTTCTGAGACCAGCAATTGGAAGTAGGTAGTCCTGTACATTTTATCCATGCTCTGACCATATTTTGAAATCAGATGTCATGCATTTTGCTGCTTTTGAGTACTGTGTACCTCATGTGGAAAAATAATCTCTGACCATATTTTGAAATCAGATGTCATGTATTTTGCTGTTTCCCCCCCTCCCCCTTTTGAGTATGGTGTGTCTCATCTGTGGAAAAATATTTTCCTTTGTAACGGACTAAAGGTCTAACTGTAATTAAAATGTTGGATACCGTAAATATTTCACACAGATTGTGACACTGTGCAGTTTCAGTTCCACTGTAATTTTTCTCTCATCTATGCTATCCCTGCAGCAAATGTTCCTTGTTTTGTTATGTTACTGTGGAGCTGATTAACTTTAAACTCATTCTGACTGAAGTCGCTGGAGATCTTTAGTCTGCACTTGCACTTATACTTGTATTTCAAGCAGTGGGATCGAGCATCCTGCTGAGGTGCCAGGTTGGCTGTTGTTGAAAAACAGAAGTATTGAATGATGCAAAATAGTGGATCAATCAGGGACTTGTTTTCTGACATGTCTAGGCTGTACTGCATAGATGTGTCTTAGTAGGAGCCAAAGTTTTCAGCAAGGTTACCTGGTGGAAATCGCAGCCGTCGATGCGGGCGCCGAGCCGGCGCCGGCGGAACGGACTGCCCGCCGTGCGCCGGTCATTCCCCCCGCTGCGACTTCGACGCTCACTGTGCCCGGTTTCCGGAACCGGAGACGAACGGCGGCGTGCTTCGAGTGCCCTGCACGGGCTCGCGGGCTCACTCCCACCAGTGAGTGGGCCGGGACTGGAAGAGGCGCGCAAGAGACGCGTTATAGATTTCGCGGCCCAGAGAAGTGGCAAACCGGGGCCGGGCTCGAGAGTGGGAGAGGAGAAAAACGCACCCTCCTTTTTGCCTCAATTGTCGTTGGCATTGGGTGAGAGGAGCAGAACACACAATCACGCAGAAACACACAGCTTGAGATAAGAGATCAACAAAGAGAAGTGAATCTGTTCAAATTTGGTGCTGATCGGGTGCTGACGTTAATATTTGATGAACTCAACATAAGTATCTCATTGTCACATGCGTCGTCACCCGAATCTAGATGGACAAGTTCGACAAGGAACCAAACTAACTCGTATAATCATGTCTCCTAAGGCTATTATCACTATTTCTTGTCAAAAGAAAACCACTCTTGACCGTAACCAACTTGAAAGCTTTTAAGGAGAAAATGTGCAATTATCTGACTCATGGTACCTAGAGAAATGCCCTATCATCGATCTCCGCACATGTATAGCAAACAGATGAGAACAAGTACAAAGCCAAATTCCCAAAGCTGTTTCTATGTTTATACATCTACCTAGTATACAGAGGATGCGTTGTCCCAAAGCTAAGGACTCCCCAAGCACAAAGCCAAATTCTCCAGCACATTAACATCAAACGTATAGAAACTATAAACATCACAACAGCACCACGGCTCTTGGCAGTGCTAGCCAAACTAAACATACAACACGCAACCCCAGACCGGATCTTTATCTTAATTGCCTTCGTACTGTATAAACGGACAGCCAAATCCCCATAGCTTCTTCCTTCCTGAAGCTGAAGCCTGAACTCATTGAGTTGCGGAGAAATAACTTCCCGATCCCAAAACGGGATTATTCATCATCGTCATCAGTATTTCTTCTTTCACAGCTTCTCTCTGTGTCAGTGGCACTGCGCAACTTCGTGTGTGCAGCACAGGCCCTCAGGGAGCTCCTGAGGCCACGGGTGTTTGTACACATGTTCAAGATGTTAAGATTGCAGACTTCTTCTGCCAGTACTGCTCGAATCTCTGCCTCGCATACTCCTTGTAGTCGAAGTCAATGTCGTTAACATGGTCCTGCACAAGATGGAAGTTAGAAAACACCAGAGAATTCAGTTTTATAGGGAAAGAATGGAATCATGACGCATGAGCTCACCGAAATTATTCCCCAGAGGCCCCATACTAGATGGCTGGCGAGCATGTACTTCTCAATGCTTTGGAGCAGGTTCTCCACAACTTCTGCATCAGGTTCCTCACCTGAAAGGTAGCAATATGCAATAAGAATTTAGGAGATATGGTTGACAAAATACAATCCACTAGGCAAATAACAATTATGAATGTTTAATTTCCATAATAAACGATTTTTTCCCCAATCAAAGGGCCAAATTAATATTTTTCTTGATGCATTCTGTACTCCTGATGAAAATTTACATTCAATGGTTAACTAATGTGCTATGTGGATTGTGAATCATAAATGTAAATTTGTATAGTTGTGGAGTACTGAACTACAATACAGAACAATTAAACCAACAGCGAGCTCGGAATTACCAGAAATGTTCAGGTAGGTCCTAACGAAGCGCTTCTGCTCATCAACATCTGTCATGTAGAATAGAATAGCACATGAGCAAGGCAGAAAGCTGAGCCAAGATTCTGCCAACTAAATTAAAGAAGAAAAGAAAAACAACAGTCCATGCATCAGCAGTTCTCTAAGTAATGCGATACCTGGATATCTGCTGTAGTCCAGTATATGAGGCTTTGATGAATGATAGTCTGCTGCCATCTCACAGAAATGGTTAGCAATGTCATATGCAACTGGGTTGAAGCTTGCATACTCATAATCCTGTGACAAAATGAGAAGACACTGTTATGAAAGGTTGGTCAAAGCAAAAACACTAAGAACAGAAAGCATAAATCTTCACATAGTAGTAGTCTCCAAAACTAAAACTCTTGCTTTAGCAGAGGCCAGAGGCGTGTGACAACTTCGTATGTCCAGGTTGGAGGGAACACAACAAACACACGTTAACAAGGGTGAAATGCAGCCCTATACGGTATGCCAAAAATGATGCAACAGCTCCAACGATCCCTACTTTTTTGCATAAGGCAGTATGCGTTTCTTAATAGAAGAAAACTCTTCCTACTTACCCATGTTCAATATTCCCATTTCATAGCTGTATCCACATTATAGGAACATAACTGATATTTCAGACACCAAAAAGAATATTTGAAGTACAGCCAAACACAATAATTAAGATTGGAAGGATGTGGAATGTGTCACTTACAATGATGGTCAGCACGTTGGTCTCTTCATCAATCATGATATTGCCATACTGAAGATCATTGTGACAGAAACCAATCCATTGGTAATCAACTGAACACTCGTTCTCCAATGCAGTAATCTCGTTCCCCACACTGTCCAACCGAAATTCCTTGGCTTCTTCAGATGGGCACAAGTTCTTGGCAGTTCTGAGCCAGTTCCTAAATTTATGTGAGCAGGTTCAGACTTTGGTCCCATATTTATAACTTTACATAAGACACTGCTTAATACAACAATTATTTAGCTATAAAGAACTTACCTCAGTCTGTCCCAAATGAGCACAGATTTGGGACCAGGCATGTCAAGGTTGTGGAATTCCCTCAGTTTGGAAGCTACAAGAGCTGAAATTTCAGGATCACGAAGGTCGGCAGCTGACAATGTCTGAAAGAAGCGATCACATTAGCATGTGAAGTGACTAATCAATTCGACAGCCCAATAACATATTTTCTCACTCGAAAACTCAAGCAGAAAACTTTTAGTAGTATCACATCATATATCATATCACCCATTTTCACCAAGCCAAGAAAGCAGCATAAGATGCTCTTTTCACGAGAGCGACACAAATAAAAAGGTAAACAAGAATCCAGAAAGTGCTATGGTGACTTCTAGTTTTTGGACCATGCATAAGGCCTGAAACTTATTATTGCTGAACTTATTTTGTCACCAGTTCTGCCACCTTTGCCTACTTAGTCATCTATCCCAAGAAGTCCAATTCATTGATCGAAAACTTGTGGTTCTCCAGTGAGAGACGTTTCCCCTTGTCGTATGGACAGTGGCCGTGCAGTCTACGGTCCCTTGTTTTTATCATTTTTTTTAGAAGTACTACACAGCATATTTAATTGCCGACTCTAAATCACCAAGCATGTTTCAAGGACAGGGAATTATCAAAGCAACAAAGATATCAACTGACAGTAAAATATTACTGAATCGCGTGGAAAATAAACACCTGTTATAATAATTGTAAAATGGGCCAGTTCACTGGCTGATAAAGACCTGACGCTTTAGAACGGTGGAAAGTCATAGAATGCTAGATTCCCACGGCAGAAAATTCAAAGAAGGAGAACCGCGCTGCATTAAATCAGTTGGCCCCATATCGATAGAATCTCAGAAAGTATCAAGAAAAGCGGCGGTCTATGTGCAAACTAGTACAACTGCTACTAGATGAGATCAACAAATAAGTGCACACGAACAGTTTAATGCCTCCCCTGGCCTAATCTTAGCATCAATTTCAACTATAATCCGAAATCCGAAAGAAGTAAAAGTAAGAGAAGAATCGATCGTCTAAGAAAAGTAAAAGTGCAGGAAAATCTCTAAAAACTGGGAGGAAGCTAGAGTTCCATAAAAGGATGCAGATGAACAGAGGAGGAACAAACGAAGCTTGAATTCCTAGTCTTATACCAACGGCAGGTAAATTTGCTTAGAGACGGTATCGAGTAGGTGGTACCCTTGCGTGGATGAACTCCTCGACGCGGCCGTTGGGGAAGCGGCCGAGGAGGCGGGGACCCTGGCCATGGCGGGACATGCACTCGAAGGTGCGCACCTCGTCCTCGCGGTCGAAGAAGAGGTCGACGCCGTCGCCGTAAATCCGCACGAGCACCTTCCTCACCTCCCTCTCCCCCCTGGGCTTCTCCGCCTCGCCGGCAGGGCCGCCGGTTAGGCCGGTGAGCCAGCGCACCTGGTAGACCTCGTTGGTCATGGCCCCCTTGAGCGGCACGACCTCCAGCGCGCGGCAGTCCGCCACGTCCGCCCACGCCGCCGCCAGCTCGTGCAGCAGGCGCCGCGCCTCCCTGGGGATCCGCGGCCCCGGCACCGGCACCGCCTCCGCCGCCACCGCCACCGCCCGCGCGACCTGGCTCTGGTTCTCGATCGCCACCATCCTGTTCCTGGCTAAACTGCCGCACGTTCTGAAACCCGAGCGAAGAAGATGAATGGGGGATTTGGCGATTTTTCTTATGGAGGAAGTTATTCTTCTTTCTTTGCTACGGTAGTTCTTCGCGGTTCCGAATTGAATTTTTTTTTCTTCCCTCTGTTTTTTCCCCCCTCTCCCTGATGAATGAGCCTGATGCGATTACAGCGATGCGAGATTACAGCGAAGCGAGTGTTGCTGTGCTTCGCGGATCAGGACGGGGTGCCGTATAAATAGAGTCGGTGGCGCGAGGTTTTGCGGCTGCCCCCCTCAAATTTTCCTTCATTCTGGGAACGCGTGGTCAAACTTACATCCCAGTGCGGCTGAGAGGCTGAGGTGCCACGTTAACCATGGTTACTTCATGCTGAAGGTTTGTGCCATAAAAAACAACCATGAGGACTGTTTTGTGGTTCAGCTTCGAGCATCGAGCTTGAGTGCTTGACCATGGTATGGTGTGGTTGCTCACATTAAGTCAGCGCTCAGTGGCCATGGGAAGCCAAATTTATGTTAGTTGGTGGCTAGTTAATTCAACTCTCGTTAGTTTAATGAAATGGATAGTTGTGAAGTGGTATTTGGATCAAATTCTTGTATCGCTGCGGAGGGTGCATTCCGGGAAATCATCAAGCAACGGAACGGACGGAGTAACGAGCCGTCCACAGCGGCCACACGTAGGGTGATTATCCACCACATCAGATCCCGTGTGGGGGGTGGGGCCTGTGACAGCTCGGTGGCCCGCGTTGCCCACGCGTAGCATCCAGACACGTCTCCCGCGTAGGCCTCCACAAACACGTGGCGTGTTCTTGTTGGGTGACTGAGGTGGGGTCCACTACGACACCGAACAACGCGTCATCGCGTGCTCGGAAACGGGAAAAATGACATCGGAAGGGAAGGTTTGTTTGTCTGTCCTTTTTTTCTTTTTTGCGACGGGTTTGTTTGTCTGTCTCGTGTGTTTTAGATAAACTAACTCCCGGTCCGGGGCCTCTCGGGCAATCTCATCCCATGCAGCCTGCGTGCACGTGACATATGATCAATTGATCACGCAGCTGATGCTAAAAAAAATTTGATCACGCAGCTAAATTCTACTCCAGCTTTTAGTAGTGTGTACGATAGAGCTACTATGCAAGTTCCATTCCAAGTGAATCTTCCCATGTACCTTTTATGCAGTCTTGAAGGAAAAGCCATGGTACTTTCTTGTTTCACAAACATTTGATGTTTTGGTGCATCACATCAAACTGTTGAAATTTACTAACTCTGACCAAAAAAATGTTTTTCTAGATGCATTCTCGAGGTCAAATGTATAGAAAATATTAATATTTATGATGATAAATAAATGTATTATGAAAATATGCTTCATAACGAATCTAAGGCTACATATCTAATAAGAATAAATATTAATAGTTTTTTATATAAATTTTGTCAAACTTGACGTTCTAGAATTGTATTCTTTTTAAGATGGAGGGAGTATTAGACTACCAAATAGTTTTCATAATAGACAATTTCAAAATATAAAAAAATATGTGTACACTTATGTTAAAAAATACTTATATAATCTCTAATTATTTGTATTATAACTATATACTGTATTAGCAAAATAATAATGCTCAAAGTTCCACCTCCTCAAAGCTAGCATGTACGATCGGAGCTAGTAATATTATTTAGTACTCTCTGTTTCGAATTGTAAATCATTTTGAATTTCAAGTTATATATTTTTTACTATATACGTCTAGATATACACTTGTCCAGATATATGGTGAAACCTATATATCTCTATCTGTCTGCACCTAAAAAGATTGTAACATTATCATCTACTCGGAGCTCACGCGTCCACATCCTACTCGGTTCTAATACGAAGGTTGGACCCACGTGATTGTGTCCGATACGAAGTTCTCGGAGTTCACGCGCCCGCGTCTAATTAATGAGGTTTAGTTAAAAAAAATAGTGGCCTGAGTGTAACGCATAGTATATCTCTCAACTTTGATATTTGTGATATTGAAATTAAGAAGGGAAAAAAATTAAAGGAACTTGCCTCGTCAAATCCACGTCACATTTGCCAATCTTATCTCATATGAATATATCTTTCATTTGTAATCCACGTCACATTTGCCAATCTTATCTCATCTGAAAATACATCTCTCATTTATAAGAAATGAATAAACAGATGGTTGACATTGTCCAGCTAGCAGCGACTTGATGCAGACCCACACGGCCACACGTACTGGACCAGGAGTTTATAGCAAGCATGATAATGGTTTGTATCTCGTCACATATACTTGACTTTTAGGGCCACAATTGACGTAGCGGCGGCACTGTTAGGATATGATGATCACTCTGATTTGTGTTTCACATACTCTTGATCTGCCGATCATGCTCATTAGCGTCCGCGCTGCGTGACGCCGAGTCGCTGACAATTTGAGACTTTACGTGCGTGTGTTTGGTCTGCCTTCGAAGCAGATCGTCGAGAAGCAAAATATGTCATACGAACCATGGTCTTTATACAGTAACTTCATTGGCCTTCAGTCCTTGGAACCCGGGACTAAACTTTAGTCCCTACCCTGTTTAGTTCTAGGGATAAACAAGGATGGAGATTCTCGAATTCTTGGTGAGCCACTTTGTCGGTTAATTTGGTCTCCGTGGAAATAGAGTAAAATACATCGCCGGATTTTAAACATGTTCGGAGTATCAACTGGTTCCAAACTTTCAAAATGCATATCTAGGTCCATAAGCTAACTAATCATATCCGAATCACGACAACTTGAGTTAACCCGTTGTGACTCAGAGAATGGTGATATGACTTTTGAGGAATCCGAGAGCTAGATTGAAAGAGTGTGATGACTATGTGGTACATCGACTGGCCTGTGGCCATGGGCTGGTGGTGGGGTTGGTCCACGGTAGACCTTGTCCACCATGAACAGGTAGGGGCCGTTTTGATCCGAATCATTGGCTTGAGATCAAGTGAATACGGATGGCTGTTGGCTTTATGATTAATCTAATTATACTTTTCTTTTGGGAAACAATTAATATAATTATACTAATTACATATCATAAATAGTACTCCCTCTAATCCAAATTGTAAGTCATTTTGTTTTTAGTTGCGTAGATTTTGCTATAATTTTAGTTATATACATTATGTCTAAATATATAGTAGAACCTAGTATGAATTTAGAAAAGTCAAAATATATAAGTTAGAATGGAGGGGATAGTTTTTTTGGGGTATGTTTAGTTAAACTTAGAAAAAGTTAGCGTTTGGCGATAGGCTTTTTTTTCAGAAATGCTATACAACACATATGTGTTTTAGCAAAAAAAAAAACACATGGATTTTCTCTCTCTCCCTCCGTTCTAGACGTCAAGCGACGTTTTGGTAAACCGTTTGGCCCGAAATCTGTCCCGCACGTGGTCCTCCGTTCTGAGATGATGTTTTAGGGGCACCTGAGGCCATTGGGAGAAGTCACTTTTTTTTTTTTCCATCACCTCTAGGTAGGTCTCTCCTGAGAGCATATGTGATTTGTCCTTCCATAGAAAAAATTTATTTTTGTGATTTGTGATTGTTCGAAGGTAGAAGAAAATTTGGAGGCTAAAGGTAGAAGACTCTGAAGGTTGTATTCGATCTTAATTCATGGTATTGCAAAAAAATTCGGGACCTTAGTTAAAAACATAGTTATTGGACAAAAAGTTAACGTTTGGCGATGGCCACATAGTAATGTAAGGCCCGCGAAAGCTTTTTTCTTGAAGGCGATGGGCATTCTTGTCGTCCTCGAGAAAAGAGGACGACAAGTAAAGTACCATCGCCTTTCAAAAAAAAGTGATGGCGGGCAGTTACATTACTGTGTGCTGTACTGCAAGCTCATGTGGCGACAACAACCTCGCGTGGCCTGTGTTCGACCCGGGCCACTTGGTGGTAACGAAAAGATCAGCGCGAGGGCGGTCACGTCGGGCGTGCCCAACGTGTCGCCGCCGATGTGGATTGCCAAGTCAACGTATAGAGACGCGGGCGAGAGTTGTGGCAGCTTTCGACTCACAGTCCTGCCTCCCAGGCACAAGCAGCGTTTCGGTGACGGTGGGCTTTTCCCCCCACCCAGCGGGTTTTTATATTGTACCTGCTGCCGTCGAGAAGTGACGAGGCAGTGTGCTGCAGCATGCGTGCGTGGATCAGAAGATCAGACGGTTGGTGGTGCTGTCGTGGGGTGCCAAAGTCAGAGCTGACGGGCAGGAGCGGTGCGCGGCGACGGACGATAAGAACGATGTACGGCCAACTAGCTCCAGGAGACAAAAACATGTTGGAGATCTCAACATCTTGTGGTGGTCGTGGTGTACGGTCGTGCACGTGCAGCACCACTCACCACTGCCGTTGATTTGTGGTGGTCGATGTTCCCGGTCCTTCCGTGCAGTTGAGCAGTGGCCCATCAAGCCTGATTTAACGCAGCATAGCCCTACCGTCCACAGATGAATCAACGGCTGCCGAGTGGTGATGTGCCCGCACGGGCGCATAGCACGACTACTACACATTTTTTTCCTCCTACTTGTAGGCCAGACGTCTAGTAGTTTTTTCGCTGCCGTCCTTGAACATTCAGCTTGTTCGCTTGTTGGTTTTAACAAAAACCAAACCAACCAAAGTAATAAATGTTTTCTCTCATAAAAACCAAAGACCAAGTACCAAATTTCAAACCAAAGACCAAAGACCAATCAAATGATGAGGTCCAATTGGACTTGTGGTCTCCTTTTGCGTCTTGCGAATGCCACTCGATCAGACCAGTGACGCACCGTCAGGGTATGCCATACAAAAATTTTCACATGCAATTCGGTAAAAACCATTTATCAATTCCGTAAATAATTGTAAATTCACAACATAATTTGTTATGCAGGCACTAAATAACATAATAAATCTAAGTTTACCAAATTACTATATAAATAGTTCAAATGCAATATTGATAATTTAAAATATAGACATAAAAGAGACTTAATCATCCAAGTTT